CCCCAAAACCCCAAAACCCCAAAACCCCTAATGGAAATTTGTTTGAAACTAAGTAAACTTTTATTACTTCAACTTAAGTTTGAAAATTTTATAATTTAAATTTGAAAAATGTCTGCAACAACATCTGGAACTGCATCGTAATCACCAGGCTCAGCCCCAAGAAGGAAGAAGAAGGGATCCATGTATTCTCTTGCCTCCTCAGGTAGAAATTTTAATTATCATTTTTTGATATAGCTAGGAGAGCTAGACCTATGATGAAGGAGGAATTAATTGGAAAGAAAATCAATGATTTGTTTAAAGAAAAAGAAATGAAGATGATAAGAGGAATAGAAACAGCTATCTTTGAAGACAATCATAGAATCTACACAGAAAAGAGATCCTAATATGCTGCTTAACTAGATGAGTTAGAAAAAGAGAGAGGCAGAATAACAAGAAGAAAGAAGAATAAAAAGGACAAGCTCAAATAGCTGCGGCAAAACATAAAATTGAAAATGCAATATATTACAAAAGCTCTTAATGAGACTGTCAAATATTATAAATCGCTTTATTATGAGAATGATTACTACAGATAGAAGAGAGTAATGGAACTTGTAAGACTCTTAAATTATTAATCCAATAGGATGAAGTAGTTGAAATGGATGAAGAGCAGAAGAAAGAGAATAAGTTGAAGCAAATGAATGATTTCTTCTAATCTCCTTTTAAAGATGACAAAAGGTTTGCAATTACTTACATATCTCAATTAACCAGAGATAAATTGTATGGTCATTTTATCTATTTAACATTATTTAGACAAGAGTCAGACACAATTGTCAATTAAATATTCTTTGATAAAATATTCAATCTACTGCTTGAGACAGATGATGAGAGAAATAAGTTAAAGTCCTTTGAAATACTTTGCAATTTGATCCATTCTGATATATAGAGAAAAAAATTAGCCGAGCAAAACTACTTTCAGAGAGTATATGATGGTTTTAATTAGCCTAAACTTGATAATAGAACAATGGAAAAGCTATCGTGGATGACTACACTTATTTGCTTCTATCCAGATATGATTGATCAAATCATAAAGTTAAATCTTCTAGAATTTATAATCAAAATTTCAGGTTACTAATACCAATCAAATATTAGGTCAAACGCAGTGTTAGCTTTAAGTCTACTTACTTATCATGAGAAAATGTTTGATGAGCTTATTTCAAGAGGAGTTATTGATTTAGTAATGGATTTATGCAAGGATAGTAATGGTGATATCCAAGTAAAATAATTCAGTACTCTAGCTTTGGTTCACTTCGCTCTTAATAAGCAATCAATAAGCATACTAATAGACAAAGGTGTAATGGATTTATTCAATAGTTTCGCCTCGATTGATAACGGAATAATTTAAACAAACGTTTCTTGGATTTTCTTGGCATTGTGTAACAATGGAATCACTGGCAAGACAATGCTTGAGAATGGAATTACAAGAGATATGTTTTTGGTATCATGCAACCCATAGTTCAACTAAATCAGGCATTTGGTTATAGCTGGTTTTGCTGAACTTGGAAGATGTACAGAGCTGAAGGATGTCGATGAAAGATTACTAAGTGCAGAAATGCAAAAAATTAAGGAAACAGCTATTGTTGGAATGCATAGAAATTTCAAGTAAGAAGCAGACTTGACCATTGATATATTGCTAAGATTTACTGTATCAGAGGTAATTTCCAAAAATCTAATATGTTTTAGAGAGAACCTTACAAAGTAATATCATATTGGGCATTAAAGGACTATATCTTACTAAATCATGAGAATCTCATAAAAGATCTTAATGGTGTCATTCAGACATTCATCAATGGTTGTATTTATCCTCAAGAAGATGTTAATGTAAGATGCTTTTTTAATGATGTAAAAATTTATATAGACTGAATGTGCAAATGCAATATCATTTTTAATTACTCATCATCTTGTCTATGTTGATAATCCTATTTCTGATAGTGATTAATCAAACTTCATTCTTGATGCACTTATGCATCTAACAGGCTCAACCTCAAAATTCATAAGAACCCGAGCCTTTTCAACTTTAAGTACTTTATCAACTTATGCGTCTTCAAGCCAAAACATCATGGACTAGATCTCGAGAGATATCAAGCTGCCAAGCAATAAAACGAGCAAAATGTATTACGATTTTATTTCAGCTAGACTTAAAAATAACCTTTAATAATTCGATGGGCTATATAAAACTCATGAAATTGAATCTAAATATGCAGGGTTATATTGCCTACTTAGAATAGCAAAAGATCCAAAGGAAGAAGTTATAAATGAAGCAGCTGATTAACTTTACTAATTCATATTCTCTGGTAAAGTAGCACAGGTAATTTTAAGTTACAATTAATTACCTTTAGAAGGATGGTTTGAATGAAGCCTTTTTTATTTATGTATTCCATGCACTTAAGTTCTCAAAAGATCATATAATTTTACTAAAGATTTTGAAAGTTATCAAATTCTATATCAAGCATAACTCTCCTATGTAAAAGGAAGTAATTAATCCTGATACGATTTTATGGCTTTTAGAAATCGTAAGCTATAAATTAGTAATATTTAATTATATAGTTAGAACAGCATAAATCAAAGAAACTTCTTGGATGTAAAGCCTCAAGAACATTATTGTAGATCGTTAGTGAGCATCAAATCGTATTTGATTATTAAGAAGTAGCGATCATTAAGAAATTCAATTTGGCATTGTAAAACTTGGATGTCTTTGATTCTTAGTAAGATCAAGAAGAAAATTAAGAAATATTAACCTAGATAATGTCTTCTCAAAATGTTTAGAACACTTAACAGACTTAGAATGAAGGTAAAACTTCCTAATAAAAAATAGAAGAACCGTAGTCTTCTATTGAGGAACCTCTAAATCCCTATGAAATGAATGAATAGTAGCTCTAGTTGATTTTAGATAATGATGGAGAGGTGAAATCAAGAAAGAGTCATTAAATAATAATCCAAAATGAGGACTTGAAAATAGAAACTAATTCAAATATGACAAAATCTTTCAATTAAGATGATTAGAAGTCAAATTAAGACAAAATGAGCTAAAAATCTGCTTAAAATTTGGTAGAAATTGATCGAGCTAGTTCTAAATCTTAATCTATGAGCTAACAGTAGAATAAACATGATTTAGGATAGGTCCTAAGTGAAAAATCAATTTTATCAATGCAATAGCAATAAAATGTAAATGGGAATGATCGACTATCAAACAAAAAATCTGTGGATGCTTAAAATTAGCAAGAAGTTTAATCTTAATTGCAAAAGCTCAATGAAATGACTTAAAATTCTAAAAATGCAACTCAAGATTTAGAGCAAAATAAATCATTTGTTAGTGCCAATCAATCAATGTCATAAGAGTCAAATATCAACAACGACTCGGCATTTTTAAAAGCACAGCAAAAACTAAAGGAGAATCAAAAGAATGTTTCAAAGATGCAGACTCTTAGAGACTCTCTGATATAATCCAAAAAAACAGTAACAAAGGGTAAAAAACCAAGAATGAGTATCCTATAAGGGAACTTAAACTTTAGCGTTGACTCTAATGGCCAGCCTAAGAATATTGAACAAAATGATAACATCTATGGTGAGGACGAAGATACTGAGTCAGATGAATCATTTTTATCCACCTAAGATGATGCTGTGCTAGATCAGTATCTAAGAGATTCTTTAATAAAATCCTTTATGGTTATTTTTACTCATGATCATTCTCAACATCTGTTACTAAATAAAGATCTGATAGATATTGCGTTTAATTGTTTGGAGTTCTGTGTTGAGATTTCTATAGAGGCAAAATAAAAACTTGCTAGACTTATCAGTATCATATTTAAGTTCCCCTAAGTATAGGAAAGGATGCTTTCAAAAGAGGTAATTTTAGGAATCACTCACCTGCTTGAACTTTCAGATGAGTAAGATATTATCAAGAATACTGTCAAAGCCTGTACTTATCTTAGTATGAACTACGAGTTTGTAAGTTCAAAGCTTAGTCTTGATGTGCTTAAAAATTTGATGCCACTATTAACTATTTTCTAAGGTGATGACAAACTGCATCTTATTTACTCAATTTCAAATATTCTGAAAGGAGATAATGACAACAAAATGTTCTTTTTTGAAAAGGATGGGAGCAGCATGTTTCTTAGATTAATACTTGATACTCAAGATGAGAAACTCATTGAAATATGCACATCAAGTTTAAAAGAGTTGGGTTCATTTAAAAAGACTATATAAGGTATCATAATAAAAGATGAAGAACTAATTAAAAGGGTATTCGCGAAATGCCTTGAGATAACTGATTAATGGAAAGAAAACTAAATTGTCCACAGAAAATAGATAAAAGAGTCCAGGAAAAATCTTGATGATGACCCTTATCAATAAAGTGACAACATTTTTTCTGAAGGTGCCTTAAATTCCTAAAATAGTGGAAGAGGAAATATGAATGATAGGGGCTTCAAAGATCATAATCTAATGCAAAAGCTTATCAAGAATGATGGAGATGAGAAAAAATCTTCTCTTTTCGCATCATCCTGTGCTCAAATCCGTAATTCAATTTACTATGCCATAGCGAAATCAATTAAGGTATATTTTTTATCAATATAAATATTTTACTTAGAGAGGACTGTCTGTTGCATATCTGAGAGATTAGTGCCATTTATTGGATAGAATTATCAATGATCTGCATGATTATGAGGAAAATTGGTTTATTTTTGAAAATGTGCTTTTGGCCTTAAATGCTTTTGAAATTGAACCAACTATCATATACGAATTATTAAACTCTAAATACGAGATGATTTTCTAACTTATATAAACTTATCCTATAAAAGATAACAGAATATCGGTAAGCATTGATTTACGCTTTATCGGCAAAATCTTGACATTATTTGTAGCTTTTGAAAGTTATCATTAATTTGATTTTGAGATCAATGGAGATCCTAAGCAAAAATGTCAATCTTTTCAAATAGCTATTTGAATTGATATCTTATCAAAAGGATCTTGAAGTTTAAGAGAATGTAATATGGCTTGTGAGTGCAATGATTGATCAATCCTCCAGCCAGAACATAATTAGAGTATGCTCAGATAACAAAATTGTTGAGCTTCTAATTATCTAAATAAGACAAGAAAACAATCTTAAAGTAAGAACAAAGCTTTAATATTTTAGAATGTACTGCAAACTTTGAAAACCTTGACAACCATGACAAAGATCAATGAATTCCTTGACTAGTTTAAGAGTCTAGATTTGTTCTCAAGACTTCAACTAATCACATAGGCTCCATATGTAAGCTTATAAAATTATTAACTTAAACAAAGTTCAACACGAACCTGGAAATAAAAACTGCTTTATTTGAGTTGCTAGTATTTTGCACGAGCAACAATCAAAATAACTGCATTTAGTTGGTTAACTAGGGCTTCTTGCACATAATGATTAATGAAATAAACAATAATAACTATTTGATAGACAATCAATATCATGGACAGGACTTACTAGATATTGATGAGGATTTCTAAGATCTATCGTACGGGAAAATGCCTAATGAAAAACTCCTCAAGATAGCTGAATAGCTCAATTTGAAAAACTTAACATAAGGAGGACTAATTAACTTGGATGATGACTTTTTCGAGGATATTGATAAGATAAACAATAGCAATCAATTAATAGAAGAAATAATAGGCACAATAGCAAATATTTCTGCGTTTAATGATTCTCACAGCTAATTGATTGATCTAGGATTGCTTGATAAATTCAAAAATATCCTGGGTTTATTCTGTCCTTTCCAATACTAATTAGGATACAGAGTACAATAGAACCAGGAATAAGTAGAACTTACTGCAATGAGTCTAGGAAACATTAAGATTCTTAAATCAATCTCATAGACTATTTACAATCTCACGCTGAACACTGAGTTCTAGGAGACATTGGTTAAAAAGGATATTGTATTGATCATGAGACATGAGGGTTGTATAAATGACTATGATTTACTGACAAACTTATACATGAGTTTTGGAAATTTAATTCTAAGCAAAAGTGATCATATTAAGAAGAGAGCAGTGGAATTAGGATGTCTTGAGCATCTTATGGATGTAAATGAAAGTACATAATACTTGAGAATTAGAAGAATATGCAATCAAATACTTCAGAAAACAGATGCACAATTATTCGAATATAATGACTAGATTAAGAGTAACTATTGATTACTTTATATCTTTTTGCTGACAGAAATAATGCTTTTGTTGGTAAATTTATAGTTGATTAAACATTTATTATTTTTATCTCGAAATCATCATTATTTTTAGATATTATAATACAGGGGTTTTGGGGTTTTGGGGTTTTGGGGTT